AAAGCAACTGTGCTTTTTTCGGAATAAACCTGAAACATCGCCAAGGAGAGGGTCTTCATATGTGGCCATAATGACATTAGCATTCTCAATCACCCTCTGGAATGTTTGGTAAGCCTCTTCCCCATCAACTTGGAGCTCAAGGAAACATCTGTCCATCTTGTTAACAGTCAAGACAGGCCTAATCCTTTCTCCCAAGGCTTGTCGGAGAACAGTTTCAGTTTGGACACAGACACCCTCAATGCAGTCAACCACAACAAGGGCACCATCAGTAATACGTAGAGCAGCAGTGACCTCAGATGAAAAGTCGACATGCCCAGGAGAATCAATGAGGTTGATAAGGTACTCGTTTCCATTTCTTTCTCCCTTGTATGCTTTTAGCTCTTCCTCAGACATCTCATAGTAGAGAGAAATACCAGTTGACTTAATTGTGATACCGCGTTCAGCCTCATCCGCGCGGGTGTCTGTCATACGTACATCCCCAGCAACTTCTTGGGCGATGATACCAGCAGCAGCCACAAGAGAATCAGTAAGAGTTGACTTTCCTGCAAGTATTGAAAACAAAAATTAGATATAAACCAAATGGAATCAGAGATAGAATCATTCGAATCATCAATGGAATGGATAAACAATCAAAAAAGCAAGGTGAAATAGTGTGCTATGGAAGACATTGGACATGATCCCAATATGATCAAACAATCAAAACTCCTACACATGCAAAGGGAAATAATTAAAAAAGTGTCATTCATACCATGATCGACATGTGCAATAACAGACATATTACGGATGTTGTGTTTACGGTCCATAATCTTACGAAGCTCTTCTGCTGTGAACTTCACCTGAAACCATCAACCATGTCACATCAATCACATATTCAATAGAACCAGCAAAAGGGACCTGCTACCTACGACAAAGAATCAACAAGCTTACCATCTTGACTACTTTTCAGAAATCACCAAGTATTTCCTGCAACCAAAAACATTAAAATGTTAAGCATGGCATAAAAAAGTCCACAGAAATTCACTAGAAAAATAAGCCTTTCATGCTGAATGCCAAATGCAAACTTCAAAACTATAAGCTTCTCTCGAAAAAAAAAACAGTTTTTATCAACATATATCCTAGAAGATAATGATTTGGCACACTACATATAAGGAGCAAGGAAGCAGCGTTCAATGTTCCCAATTACTTACATATGAGCATCTTGTACTTCAAAGGCCATGAGAAATCATCCCATAGTAGTTAATTCAATCAAACAATTATTATCTCACAACAAATACGAAGATAGATAATTAAATCACATAATCAATCTAAACTACTATAAATAACTAATAACATAGAAATATATTGATCACAGTCATCCGAAACAGAAATCCATGAGAAATCTATACCTCACAAACATCTGTCTTTACCAGTCCCAAAGAAAGATTCAATCTAGCCTTATATTGACGGACAGATCAACAAAGCAAAACTAAAAATAGTTGAATGGACGACGATCCTTAAAGCCATCATGAGAAACTAAATCATTAGAATCTATGAAATCAAAACTGACATAGACCACAAAACCAAACGCATAAAAAGAAATCAATAAAGTAATCAACCAAATCGTTCAGAAAATGAATCACGTTTATCAAGCAATCTTATTGTAAAACAACACACAAAACAGAGGCACGAAAAACGAAGATTTAACTACAAGAGATGTAGAAAATAAGAAACAAATCAACTTCAGATCTCGAAACCGAACCAAATAACAGAAAACTCATAACATGAACATCAACGAAACCGCCTAATAATCGAAAATTACCTTGAAGAAGCACAAATCTGAGGCTAGGAAGAGAGGAGATACGAAGCGAACCTGAAAGAGAAAAGAGTGGCGGCCAACGAGAAGCGAATTGAGTCACCCTCTCTCTCTTCGGGGAAGCGATGAGGGTAAATGAGAGCATAAAGAGTATATATATAAGAGAATATGAGATGGGAGGGATTGAGGTACATGCGGTCGAGAAACCCTGATCTAGGGTTTCTTCTCTGGGTTGACTGGGCTGGGCTTCGTCCTCTTTCACTCCATTATCGGGTGTAGCCTTTTCCTAAATGAGTTACTCAGAAATAATAATGTCATCTTTTATACGCAATATATAGTTGGTGTATCTTACTACTTAACAACATAATATTGTTTAATTTCTGAATTAATTAATTAATTACAATTAACTTACTTCAAATTTTTTAATTTTTTTATACGTCATCAAAAAATATTAAATATGCATCAAAATCACATTATCAAAGAATTATACTAATCATTTCGATAATTAATTTAAAGTAAATTTAATACATGGATGCACATTAATTGTTTCCAGAATAAATTTCCATGATTAAACTAATACATGCAAGTAATTATTTTTTTTCCAAATTAATTAATTAGATGCATCTAAACTAATTATTTTTTAAAGATAATTTCCAAAATTAGTTTGGCACATACGTGTAATTAGTTCAATACACGGATTTAAAATAACTATTTTTTGTTAATTTAATATATAAGTTTAGGTGTGAAATTAGATAAAATATATTATGGAAAACAATTCAATATTTCATGTTCTTAAATATAAACACATGCATGTATATATATATATATGTATATGTATTGTAAAATTACTTTAGTACATTAATGTTTTTGTCTTTATCTTTTACTACTGAAAAACACTAGATTAGTAAAAAATAAAATTACTTCATTATCAGTAAATGTAATTACTAAAAATAAAATTACTTTATTATCAGTAAATGTAATAGTGGTAGATGTATTTAGGACATTTTAAAAAATATATATTAAGCATCAAAGCCACATAATAAAAAAAATTACTTATTTCTAAAATATATTTAATGCATAAATGTTAATTAGTTCTATTAATTTTTTTTTTCAGAATAAAGTAATATACGTGTTTAATTAATTATTTATAATATTAATTTACTAGATGCATGTAAAATAATTATTTCTTTATATATTCTTTGTAAAATTACATTTGTTGTCTTAAATAGTAATATAAAGAAATGAACTAAATTTCATTAAAATCTTATCATTTTTTTTTCAATTTTAATTCCACAACCCAACAACTTAATATTTCTTAAAAGTAATAATTATGTAAAGAATGTGAAGCTACTAATTTAACATTACATTCATAGATGCAACACAATAGTAATATAGGTAAGTAATTAAGCAAGAATAGAGTGAAAGAGAGAATATAAACTTGATTTAGAATTTTGGCTAATTAACATGCCTACTTCATTTTTTATGTAAATGTTCGAAATCTTAAAGAAAATAATATACATTAAAATATTAAAAACAAATAGTAATTTAAGATTTACATTCTTTACGCAGTAAATTAGAGTGTTCAATGAGAATATGAGAATGTTCCCTTTAAACAAGTTAAAATAATAGAAATAAAAATGAAACTAAAATCATATGGGGTTAACCTCCACTGACAATTTGGATGGAGTCCGGGAGGTAACCTTTATTCGTAATTCTCCTGCTGTTCAGGATCTGAATTTTGATATTTTTGATCTGACATGGTTAAATAGAGGGATAAGCTAAACTAATCTAGTAAGAATATCACACTAATCACTTACGCGAAAAACTGAAAGTTGATAAAAATTATAAAACAACTAATGAGCCATTAATTTAGGTAAATTCATTTAACATAAAATCGTTTATTTTATATGTACCATTTTGAGTTTCCAAAAATGGATCTATGAAGACAAAAACTCAGATAACATCGTAATTTTATCTCCAAGTGAGGAAGAACAACAACTTATCTTTTCACCTCCTTACCAGTACCTCTGGGGATCCATAGAGATATCTCCCTATGCGTGAATCCAATATCCAAATTTGTTAATCAACCGGTCGTCTGCATACCTCATCCAGTAATGGGCGCCAAACATACCATTGTCTCGATATCCTATCCGATATGAGAGTGAACCATATCTCTCAAACCCTTCTGATATGGAACTTTCCAGCCCTGTCCGACTGAAGTAATGTTCACAGTAGGATTTTTCCTACGTACCGAGTCCGTCCACCCTTTTCCAGAGTACCTAATAAGCTTTCATACATAGATTCATATTATCAACTAATTCTCAATTATATATCAATATCTCATATTTATCAATTAACAATAAGTAATGCAAAGAGACAATACGTAAATCAAGACAACATAATTAAGACACTTATTACAAAACGAATCAACAAATGAAGCAATGCAGTTAGGTAAACTAAATAACTGAGAAAGCAATAAAAACTATCAATTTAATGCACACAACATAATAGTAAGCATTTTAGGCAGTATAGAAAAAAATAAACAGTAAACCAGGCCGAATATGTACTGATCGGTTCCTGCTCCACTAGTTACCTGTAATTAATTTTAGAATTTTCTAATTTTCACAAAACACAGTGTTATTTATTATAAAGCTTCAATGTACCGTAACAGAGAAAATGGCGAGAAATTCTTACCATGGACCAGTATCCGAAATACTGTACTTCCCACTACGCCTCCTAGTGGTCCCCAAGTTTCTTGAATTTTCCTTGCGAAAATTAAAACACTCGTTGTAGCGCCCGGACCGAGGGAAAAAAAAAAAAAAAAAGCCACGTCAGCAGTCCCGGCCAACCGGGGCCTGCCACGTGGCAAGACCACGTCGCTCCTAAACGGGCTACGTTGGCGATCCGCGTGGGCGCGATCGGACGGTCCAGATCAATCGCGCGATCGGACGGCCCAGATACAATCGCACGGACGGTCCAGATTTAATCAAAAACGGACGGCCCAGATTAAAACAAAATGGACGGCTGAGATCAAGGGCAAGGGGTTATAAATAGAACCCCCACACCAGA